AATCAAAATTATCTTAGACATATCACCCCTTGTCTCTCCTTTCTTTTGGCGCCAAAATACATGTCAAAGATCAGACGTCACCAGATTTCCATCCGCTCTTTGGCTTATTTACTTTTCTTTTACTGTCCTTTCGTCTTTTTTTCCATTTTCATCGCAATAAGGTAAGTTTGTAGTATATAATTCAATGGGTTTATCAGAGGAAAGGCAAGGCAGAGATATATAAATTCTTAATTTTATTGCAACGTTTTCTTTCAGATTTACTAAATCAGTCTCAAAATGAAGAAACAAAATTAAATACGATTTTCCGTCTTAATATTCATCTGGTCTTATGATTTCTTACTAGTATGAACAGAAAAGAAGAGTATATATTTATTTATTTATCTATTCATTATTATCAGTATTATTTTACACTCAGAAACTGATGATACAAATTCCATTTTCTTGCAGTCTTTTATATCTTAGTATTCATTTTCATCGGAAATGAAGCTACCGATTTCCATTTATACTGCCTGACTAGATGATATCCTATGTTCTATTGGTATGGAGAAATGTATCTATCCTATCTAAAGGTTGATAGAATATCTATCCTAAGGACTAATATCTATATGGATGATAGAGTGGTAATGAATATATCTATGACTATCTATACTATCTATCCTATGACAATAACTATCTATCCTATTAGAATATCTATAAGGATCCTAATGACTATCTATGACTATCTATCCTAATCTATCTATCCTATCTATCCTAATCTATAATATCTATCCTATGATCTATCCTATAATATCTATAATATCTATCCTAATGACTAATGACTAATATCTATCCTATGACTATCTATCTTATGACAATGACTATCCATCCTAACGACTATCGTATGACTAAATCTATCCTAATACTATCCTAATCCTGAATGCCTGACTCAACCTTATCGAACTGAACCTAAACCTAACCTAATCATCATCTGGTATGGGATCTTGTGCCCTATGGACATCACGTTCGTGGACTGAAAACAATATAGATTTTACTCCCAAAGTATTTAATTGAATTATTTAAGCTGGTTTTACATTTCCGACAGCTATTTTTGTGATATTTGCTTGCAGCAAAATCGGATTAAACATTGGACAGTAAAGATATTAATAGTTATAGTTGGACAAAAGTAAAAACATGTAAAGTAAAAACATATGAAAATAATAGTTATGGTAATAATAAGTTAGGTTAAGGTGTGTGTGTGTTTATGTTCGTATTTGTGTGTGTGTGTGTGTGCAATATCTTGTTTCTCCGACCAAGTGTGGCATAACATCTAAAATCAATAAATATAATCATTACGTCATCTAGTGAAATATCGGAAATTATCATTATCATTGTGGATATTAATATAATTAGTATCTCTTAGTATTCAATCCAATTTTCAAAATATTCATATCACTCCATTAATTAGCTTACTTTTTTCTTTTAGATATCATACTGTATTGAAGATATGACATCATCTGGCAGGTAAGTTAGGTTATAACAAGAAAGACAGTTATTCCAGTGACATTTGTATTAACAGTGGTAACGATAGATAACCTAATAGCTATAATAATAAAAACATTGGCAATATGATATCCAGTTTTAATAATTACTTTAGAATTATATGTCGTTTGGTTTATGATGAAATCGGTGGTGAATATAGTAAAAATTATTGTTATAACCATAAACTACTTGATATTCTAAAAGTAATGTCTATAAGCAACAACAGATGATAACAATATTAACAGAGGCAATGTTATCCTAATCATCACAATAAAGAATATAATAAATGGAACAGTAATAGTTATGAAAATTATAACACTGATAATCAAAGACCAATTACCAGTACCAAGTGACAGAGACCTAACTTACACTTGCCGTGTCCCCAGCCAGCATCGGGTGCCATACGTGGTGGCACCTCCCCCAGACGCCGACCAGCTGCCTTCTCTCTCGCAGATGCCCAGCCAGGTGCCATCGCAGGTGAGCACATTATATGTTTGTTGATTTTTTTCTTCTGCGGATGTGTATTTGGTCAATATTCTTTTTTTTTTATAATAGTGACATTTATGCTAAAGGGAATGATAATAATAATAGTAATGATAATTGTAATGGTAATAGCGATGGTACTGATAATGATAATGGTAATAACGATGGTACTCATAATACTAGTTTTAATGATAATGGTAATAATAAAACGAAAATGACAATACTATTAAAGGTGGTAATAACCAGTAACAACAATACTACCAAAAATGAAAACAGCCAATAACAACAACAATAATGGTAACAAGCATAATATAAAATTCGAGAACGATAACACTAATAACAAACTCAACAAAACGATAACCCCCAGATGTGGACAGATGGCATATCAAGTTGGTGTCACAACAGACAGATTGTGACTGCAAGTACAAGCGGACAGATGGCTACTTCCGGTCAGCCAAGGTCGTGGGAAGGTCATTTTCACTTAACGCAAGGTCAAGAACACGCGTTTCAAGAGGAAAGTGTGTACTGCGACCAGACACAGAGGTAAGGAAGAATGTTTTATCTTTTGGTTTGATTTGTTTCACTTGATGTATTATTGCCATTGATCTGCTCGCCATACTGCTTCTTTATCAGTTAACAGGATCTAATCTTCCTTATTTTTAATTCTTGATTTGATCAGATTTCATTGTTAGATCTCTAATAATTTATGATTATTACTGTGATTACGATATCGCTATGTTATATACATTTGTTCAGTTTGCTTTGTTTCGATGGTTTTAAAAGGCATTTATATGTGGTGCCATTTAAAAAATTCTTACATTTAAAACATTGCCATTAGCCATTCAGATGATATTTTGAAATCCCTATTATCAAAAAGACAAGACTACTTCCAAAACCGTTTATTAGCACCCAAAACACACAAAGCTATTGATTCTCTGTTTATTCTTTCTAATCTTTCCAGTTACCCTGTGAACGCTCCTTCGTCAGGTTCAGGAGCCACAGGATCTCAAGGCTTCCTTCGCCCTGTCTCGCTAATACGTATCCTTTTCATAAGAATGCATAAATGTGTAATTGTAAAGGACTCTGACAAAAGCAGTGCAGGGGGCATGTAAATTGTGAATTGTGTAGAGCGTGAATGATATATCAGCGTTTTTTGAAGGATGAATAGAGTAGTAGTGGAATTATGTAGATACATCTCTACTCTAGTAAAATATGTTATTTATATATATGATGAAAATTGTAATTTACGATGAACGTTAATAATTTATCAGTGTTATTTGAAGGCTGAATAGACCAGTAGTAGAATTATGTAGATACATCAATATTCTAGTAAAATATGTTATTTATATATACACACACATTTTCTCGCTGTATTATCCTTAGCTAAATCCAGCGGAGCAGTATCGAAGCTTGTTCTCCCAGTTCCCATACTTTAATATCGTTCAGTCAACTGTCTTCGATGATGTCTTTTACACGGGTAAATGTTTATGTGGTCATGTATCTCTCTCTCTCTCTCTCTCTCTCTCTCTCTCTCTCTCTCTCTCTCTCTCTCTCTCTCTCTCTCTCTCTCTCTCTCTCTCTCTCTCTCTCTCTGTTCCAAGATTCAGTTTCAATATTTCTCCACCCTTTGAACAACCCAACAATGCTAGATTCTCTCGAAAGAACAACAACAGAATCAGAATCCACCAACAATACAACACAAAACCCGACGGAGAATTGCCGCTTCTTCCAGATCGCTCGCTGGTTGTGTCGGCTCCTACTGGCTCGGGGAAAACCGTGGTGATGGAGCTGGCCCTCGTGCGCCTCCTGATGGCCAAGGCGACGGAGGACGACACGGACGACGCTCCCATGCCTCCCAGAGTCGTGTACAGTGAGTGGAGTCTAGTTAAATCTTGGTGTGAGAGGATGGGCTTTTTTGTGTGATTTGATTTCACGTTAATATGACCAGTTGGTATTGATAGCTGCGTTATTTTCTGGATTAGTTTTTTTTTTTTTTTTTTGAGGAATGGATAGCAGTAAATAAGCTTTTAATTACTTTTAGGATATGCTATTTCCTACTAGAGTTATAGAGGCTTTAAGTTTTCGGTAACGTGACAAGCTGAAATTAGTATAGATAGATAGATAGACAGAGATTTAGATGTATACATAAATGTGTATACATAATACATAAATACACACGTTTGCAAATACATACATACTGTACATATATAAATATAAATGTAATTTATTAACAGAAAAAATACCTACACTGAATGTATTATGTAATATAAGTATTTCCTTTTCACATTCATATCCTCTTACAAATCCTAGAATCTTATGTTATTATTTCCCATCATATTGGCACGAAAAACTGCCTTTCATCGTAAATCATTAACCTTAACCCTTTTCACAGTGGCACCCATGAAGGCCCTGGTGACAGAGCGGTACATCGACTGGCAAGCGCGTCTGCGGGACCTGGGCGTTATTTGTGCAGAGATCACGGGCGACACAGATCACGATGATATTGCTGTTATTGCGAAATCACAGGTAAATAGAGAATTTAAGAAGTATCCTATAGATTGTGGTTTAATCACTCTATTAGGTACAATTTTCAGTATACAAATCATATGCATACTGAATTTCTGTCTTTAAGTAAGAGTAGAAGACTTACTATATGCTTCGCTTTATTGTTTTATTGTTTTTCTTTCAATTTCCTGTTTTACCCGTTTCCTATTTGTTAGTTATTTTTTCTGTTCTTCGATTTCCCTTCCATTCAAATTACCATCGAATTCCTTTTTCAGGTAATTCTTACAACTCCGGAAAAATGGGATTCGCTCACTCGTCGCTGGAGGAACCACGTCTCTCTCATGGAAGCCGTTTCGCTCTTGCTCATAGACGAGGCAAGTCACTAAGTAAAGAAAGATAAGTAAAGAAAAATGAATAAAGAAGGACAGAAATTTTCAGATATCTGTGAAGAGAGTAAAAATAAGTAGTCAGAAGGACAGAAATTTTCAGATATCTGTAAAGAAAGTAAAAAGTAAGTAGTAAGAAGGACAGAAATTTTCAGATATCTGTAAAGAAAGTAAAAATAAGGAGTAAGGAGAGAAATTTTCAGATATCTGTAAAGAAAGTAAAAATAAGTAGTAAGGAGAGAAATTTTCAGATATCTGTAAAGAAAGTAAAAATAAGTAGTAAGAAGAACAGAAATTTTCAGATCTCAATAGAGAAAGTAAAAATAAGTAGTAAGGACAGAAATTCTCAGATATCTGTAAAGAAAGTAAAAAAAAGTAGTAAGAAGGACAGAAATTTTCAGATATCTATAAAGAAAGTAAAAATAAATAGAAAGGACAGAAATTCTCAGATATCTGTAAAGAAAGTAAAAATAAGGAGTAAGAAAGACAGAAATTTTCAGATCTCAATAAAGAAAGTAAAAATAAGTAGAAAGAAAGACAGAAATTTTCAGATATCTGTAAAGAAAGTAAAAATAAGGAGTAAGAAAGACAGAAATTTTCAGATCTCAATAAAGAAAGTAAAAATAAGTAGAAAGAAAGACAGAAATTTTCAGATATCTGTAAAGAAAGTAAAAATAAGGAGTAAGAAAGACAGAAATTTTCAGATATCTGTAAAAAAAAAAAAAAAAAAAAAAAGTAAAAATAAGTAGTAAAAAAAGAAATTTTCAGATATCTGTAAAGAAAGTAAAGATAAGTAGTAAGAACAGAAATTTTCAAAGTAAAAATAAGTAGAAAGAAAGAGAAATTTTCAGATATATATAAAGAAAGTTGTCAGTGTGAATTCTCGATCAACACCCCTTGCCTTCGTCAGGTACACGTGTTGGGCGACCAAACCCGAGGGCCTACCATGGAAGCGGTTGTGTCGCGGATGAAAACCATACGCACGACAAGGCCTTCCACTTCGCCCCAGAGACCTCCACTTAGGTGAGTATCCTCTTCCTCATTTGCTATCATACTTTGTTTTTTTTTTTTTTACTGTTCTTCGTTATTCTATTCTGGCCTTCGTTCATTTTTTGTTTTTGTATTATTCGACATTATCTATACGATCACTATGATTACCGTTCTCATACAATCACATTTTGCAGAAGTGTGAGTCATTGTATAATCCCCTTTATAACGAACTGGACTAAGTTTTCGCCGTTTTGTGATAGATAACTACCAATATTCTTTGGAATTTTTCAGTTTTCTCTTTTAGCAGTCAGTAGTAAATTGGCATATTTCACGGTCGTAACTATTATCTTTAACAACATCCTATTTCTATATGTAAGGTTTGTTGCGGTTTCGGCAACGATTCCTAATGCCGAAGATTTAGCGGTTTGGCTGTCGGATGGACAGAGCCCTGCTGTGACACACAAGTAAGTAATTTAGTGAATTTCCGAGTTGTGAATTCAGTGAATTATTTCTTATCATTAACAGTATTCATTCACATTTATTCCCTTTTATGTAATTACACATGCGCAGAAAAGAGCTAGTTAATCCCAAGAATCAGATAAGCCGGTTTGTTAAAATTGTGCAAGGCCCATCCTAATGAATTTTCATATATGCGGACATGCATAAACACGGGAATAAATGCATATCTATCTGATAAATATACATTAACCTCTCTATCTATGCGGTAGATATGATGACTAGACCGATAGATATCTATGAATTTATGTGTGTATGCACGTCCATATAATGAAAATTCATTGGGTTAGGCTTCGCAAATATTTAACAAACCGGATGTATAAAGATTTTTCTCTAAATACTTGTTTCCCCACAATGCATCGCGCCATATATCCGTGACGTCACTGTAGACCTAGAGACCCATGTGCGGAGCAACAACAACAAATAAGTGTTTTTTCCGTATTTTTCTTGCTCTGAACAATGGCAAGTTGTGTTGTGTACGGGCGCAATAGTGGTAATAAATGTAAGAAACAAGAAAAACTTAATTTCTATAGATTTTCTAAGGCAAAGCTAGTGGATCCATACATGTTGTCGGGCAGATAAGCTGAACCCTGACACTGACAGAGTTTGTTCCAGACATTTCAAGGTAACAGGAAAGGAAAAGCGACAAAGAGAAGACTCATCAGCGTACCGAAATGCCTGACCAGTACAAAACGGACAAGGTTGCACTATATTCCTCTTAGCCTTTTTTGTTCTTTTTCGTAGAAGTAATAATAGATCACACCTGGGCTTTCATTGTTAATATAATTACTAATGAGGATTATTATTCAGTTTTAAGGATAGTTATTTCGAGCTAAAACATACATGAAAGGGGTAAGGAGGAAGTGCAATGACGAAAGAAAAAATTATAGGCCTACATATGGGAAAATATTAGATGTGAAGCAAAAGATGGGTGAGACGCGAAAAGCTTACAATGCTTCTAAAGGAGAATGATGAAAAATCACTGAGAAAGTCAATCAATAATCTCATGTTTCTAGGTTTATGACTATATTAATGAATAGGGTCGGCGTGAACTAACCTCTCACGTTGTACAGTATTCTATATCCTTGATAAATATTAATGC